GGGAGGTAAAAATTGAGAGGAAAGAAGACTCAACCCTTAAACAATGCATATGCACCCACTCAACTATTCCTATACTGTGTATATAACTCCAAGAATTTACATTAGCTAAACAGATCTGTATAACTGCAAAAGGGGAAAAAAATCTCCCAAATACATTCAGTTTGGCAAAGCTTCCTCCTACAAGAGGCACTCAAGTTTCACTCAGAAATGGAGTGTCATTATGTAAAATCTTTAGGAGGGGGGAATTATTGAAAACACATTCTTACCATTCTCATTGGGCTCTGCTGCCTTGGACACTTCTCTGAACGGTATTATAACTGCATCTCCAGGCACTCTGGGGCTTTCCACATACTTGGGCTTCCTGACGGGTCCTGCAGTGGAAAAGATCTGAGTGTGGCTAATTTTTTCCAGACGCAAACAAAGCTTCAGAATGTACAGTGTGTGTCCTCACCAGGACCCAAATATGCCTAAAGGAAGAGCCGGCCCCTTCTCCTCCCTTGAATACACACACGGTCATTTCAGTACAGACACGGGAATGTCCAGTCTGAGCTGCCAAAGAAGAAATGGGTAAGCTCAGTTTCGAGAATGTAAACTCTGACAAAAACAAAAGCCGCTCTTTTGCTATGAAGTTTCTACAGCTGTCGTTGGTGTACATCAAGTGAGTGATTTTGACATGTTCAAACCTGGACAGCTTTTGGCAAAGGGTTTTTTTATTTGGAATTTGTCTCTAACTGGGACAAAGACGGTTGGGTTGCTTGGTATCTCCAAAGTCAGGAGGCAAGGATTACTAACAGCCAGGCTGAAAGATCAACACACTCTGAGCGACCACAGAGAGCAGGCATTTTATCAGACTGGTGACGCACGGCAATTGTGTGGGGCACAGAAGGCGATGGTTTTCTTGGCACATGACAGAGGCACCTTCAGAAAAGCAGAGCGGCCAGTGCAGCAGGCAACTGGGGACACAAGAGAGCCCGTGAGTCCAATCTCTTACCTCCCCCTCAACCTCAACTTATCATCAGAAAATCTGGAATTCTCAGTAAGAACGGATAGACCCCCTCACACACATTGGTGGTGGCAATGTACAGGTGCAGCCACTTTGGAAAACAGTTTGGTAGCTCCTCAAGAAGTTAAACAGTTATTGTATGACCCAGTAATTCCACCTCTATGTTCACACCACGTCCACACAGAAGTTTGTATACTTGTGCGCACAGTAGCACTATCAATAGCCAAGTGTCCATCAACTACTTATAAAATGTGATATCCCATACAGTGGAATCTTATTGGGCAATAAAAAGGAATGGAGTACTGATTCATGCTACAGCATGAAACACTATGCTAAGGGAAGGAAGCCAGTCCCCATAGATCACATATTGTAGGAGTCCACTAGTGTGGAATTATCCAGAATAGGTAAATTTATTTATTTTTTTAAACTTTTTTTTTAAGTTTATTTATTTTGAGAGAGAGAGAGAGAGAGAGAGAGAGAGAGAGAATCAGTGGAGAAGGGGCAGAAAGAGAAGTGGACAGAGGATCTGAAGCAGGCTCTGTGCTGACAGCAGAGAGGTTGATGCGGGGCTGGAACTCATGAACCACAAGACCATGACCTGAGCTGAAGTCGGATGCTTAACTGACTGAACCACCCAGGCACCCCCTGAATAGATAAATTTATAGAAACCAAGTATGAATGGTTTTCAGGAGCTGGGGGATATGCAGGCTTGTGGGCTAATGACTAAGGGGTATCAGACTTCTTTCTGGAGTGATAAAAATGTCCTAAAAATAGTGGTGATGGCTGCATGACCTTAGGAATATACTAAAAACTTCTACAGGGTACACTTGGAGTGAATTGTATATGTGAATTATATTTAAATAAAGCAACTTAAAAAAAGAGCGCCTATTTTATTCCTTTCAAACATCACATTTGTTCCAGAATCACCCACTTTACTCTCATTTTCCTTGGTTGCCTTAAAGTGTGCTTTTAACAAGGCCACAAAGGCAGGGAACATTTCACACCAGTAAGGGACAGGATGGTGGAAAAAGTGGCAGATGGGTCGACAGCCCTCCCTCCTGCTCAGCCCTGAGCCATAGCCCGGACTCTCTGGGGTCTCGCCTCTGTCACGGCACACTGAGGTGGTGAATCGGGCACATCCTGAGCACCCTTCTGTGTCAAACATCTTAGGAGTCTGAGGAGTTCCGGTCAGAATATGGTTTGTGGTGAGAGATGCTGCCATCTAAAGGCTTACTGCAAGAGCATCTACGTCAGTATAAAAATAATCCAACTCCCCGCCACCTACAGTGTACTACAGATTAAAACAGGCTACGTTATCAAAGAAGCTTATGGTACTTGACAAATAGGGCTATTATTTCAAACTTTAGAAACCATGGTTTTTAAATGGCTAACACAGCATTTAAATCACATGGCTATCTCCATAATTTATGTAACCCTGTCAGAAAGAGGATTTTTCAAAGGTTAAAATGGAATGCTTATGGGGGAAGAGGGAGGACCTGCTCACAATATGAATGGAAGATGTAGGCTATACAACAGAATACAAAGCATCATTCAGATTTTATCTAAAAATACACATATCTGTACACAAATATGCATGGAGAGAAGACTGGTAGGGGAGGAGGGCGGGGAGGGTAAGGGGATACTAAAAAGTATTTGCTATTAGAGGAGCCAGAAACTAGAAGAAAGGGCCCTAACAGGGCAGGAAGAAATGGAACCAGGACAAACATGAGAACCTTTCTACACTTTTGGTTCCTGACCTATTATCTACAGTAAAAGAGATGGCTGGCGTCTCTTCCCCCATCATCTGCCCTAATAAAGAAGTAAAGCCCTTTACTATTATTGTCCAGTGATTCAAACTGCCCCAACCAGCATGCCATTGCTCAGGAGACACCTATAAATTTCTGCTCACCTTAACTCTTCAGAGTATAAGGAACAGCAAATCTAATCAGATCTATTTCCAGGCTCCAATCTACCTACCCCTCATATCCTTCAAAAATATTTTCTAACAGTAAGTACTCTCTTAAAATGTGGGCTACAGTAAGTACTCTCTTAAAATTTCACATGGATGAAATATGAATGGTTTCACATGGATGGTTTTATGAATGATTGGAACATCGAACCCCAACGTCACCCAGAAACATCATCCAGAGCCTTCAGAAAGCATCCATGCCCATCCTTTCAATTGTCTAGGACTGTATTTTGTTCATAGGTCAATTGCTAATGATAAGAAATACTCAACATTGAGGAGTGAGGGTATTAAAAGCAGAGCGTCTGGAATTGGGCAAACCTGGATTCAAACATGGTCCCTAGCCTCCCCCAACTTGGACCTCAGTAATACCCCAGAGCCAAAAGATGAACACGTAAGCCTCATGTTCCAAGGGGAACATCCATGAGAGCAGAGACCAGGTGGAACGGATTCCCAGGATTGGCACAGTGCCTGGCACAGTAAACAGGGATGCAAGATAGGAAAGGAGACATAGAATATACCAAAGGAAATAAAACGTGTATTCGGTGGACCCACAAGGCTAAGCACTAACATACATTAATTCATTCAATGGTAATAACTTTGGGAGAAAAGCACTATTTCCATTTTTAGGTCAGGAAACCGAAGCTCAAATCAGTTAAACAAGTTGCTCATAGCCCACACATGGCAAAACAGGAATTCAAATAGTTCTGTGGTCCATGCAGGTTTGAAGCCCATGTACTCAACCACCACTCAGTACTTATAAAAGTGGGAAACCCAGATAAAACATGCAGTCCTAGAAAAGGCCAGAGCAGGGGAAACTTCTACCATCACCTGGTCATCCATGGACTTAGCAGAGTCAACAAATATTTTATTCATATTTATTTGTCTCTGATCACCCCTTTTACTAGGAGTTGAACATTATGAAATGAATACAGGCTTACGTGAGATAGTGCAGATCTTGCAATAAATTGAGTCAAATGAATTTTTTGTTTCTTAGTGCATATGAAATTATGTATACACTGTAGTCTGTCACATGTGCAATAGCATTATGTCTAAAAAACAATGTACATACCTTAATTAAGAATTACTTGGGATAAGCACTGGGTGTTGTATGGAAACCAATTTGACAATAAATTTCATATTAAAAATTTTTTTTTAAAAAAAGAATTACTTTATTGGGGTGCCTGGGTGGCTCAGTCCAAAGCATCTTTTGAT